TTCCTGTAGGACCTGCAAATTGAAATACTCTTTAAGGTGGCACTGCAAATAATTTGGCAGGTCTCTCAATAGGTATGAGACTTAAGTTGATTTTGTTATCTTATTCTCTGTTCTTCTTTTTCCTTCTTGATTTGTCCTGCTTAAACATTGTTTTATTATAGTTCGCTCCATCCTTTGGGTGCAAGCAGCTTATATCGGCTTATTGTGAGACTGAACATTTTTGTTCGAATTGGGAGGAAAAAAATGTTGAAATTTCTTAAAGGTGTTAAAAAATGACTTTATGTTCCAATGCCAGTCTGTTTTGGCGAAATAAACTCACGCCTTTTCAACTCAGCTTTTATAACCCATGTCCAATTTTGGATATGTGCCAGCAGATTGAGTTAGTTTGCATTATGAGCTTGGGCAAGAATCTATATCTCAAGGTTCAGATATAAATAGTAAAACCTCAAGCACTGGTAAAGGTACAATCCTAGTTGTGTGGTTTTTTTCTAGATGATATAGTGCAGTGCTTTTTTAGGTGTTCTCGAAAATAACTCTGATATTTCTGACTCATGAACAGGCCACAAGCCATATGGTGATCAGTAAATATGATTCTTGACCTCATCTTGCAACGTTTGGAGAAAATCCCAGCAGACTAGAGTTACATAAAGTGAAAATAACTTGAGAAATTCTGCTCCGAATTTGCTTAATGGTCCTGTTGCTTCAGGAGTAAACCCAGTTTATTTGGCTGAGCTTTACAGATATATGTTAGTAATCCAGAAAACTGATTCTTATTCATCAACATGAAACTTTTGTCGGGCATCTGTTAAGGTTTGTAACTCGTTGCACCTAACTTTTTGTGTTCACAGCGTAAGATTCTTCAGATTGCGAGTATTTTTGCGTTCAGCACTCTTCTGTATCAAGAAATTCAATTTCAATCAAGTGACAGACATATTCACAGAACATTGTCAAACTGTAGCACTACACAAATAATTTGAAAAAATTGCCAGCACATTTTGTTGCTCGACATGTTAAACCCGGGTGGGTTTGAAATGATTTTGCATTATTGTGAACTGAGTTTGGTATGTAAATCTTTCATGCAATCCTTTACCACATCACTGCTTGATACTTTCAGTAATAAAAAATGCTATAACTTACCTGAGCTTTCATGTCGCTTGACGTTTCAATTTTCAAACCAAACGTTTTATCATGCTCGATTTCATATACACGTGCAAGTGCAAAATAATGCGCTGTAAATATTCGGCACGAAAAAACACGTCCGTCCATAAACAAGCACAGAATGCATGCGCAAAATAGAACCAAAAAAAAAAAAAGGTTTTCGCTCAACCATTCTGATACGGAAGTGGTAATCGAGCCCGGAGAATGTGAAGATTGGTCGGGCGTGGCCGATGGGAAAATGGGCGAGAGACGCGCATCGGGTGGTGATGCGCGGGCGTTGGGCGTGTACGCAGGCAGAGTCCTCGTCCGCATAGGAAAGACGGACACTCGACGGCACGCGCGCGGAAGGATCGATTGGAACCGGGCGCGCAAGAAAGCGCACGGGTGTAGCGCAAACGCGGGAGTCCTACACCGCGACAGCATAGGCGTGTTGGGCGCATACGCGCACAAGGACGGCAGCGAAAGAATAGCGCGCAAGATGGCGCACGCGTGGGGGGCAGATGCGCGAAGCCTAGTCCGTGCGGGACTAGGCGAGGTTGAGGCGGTTGGCGTTGACGTGCGTGGGGCGCAAGCGCGCGCGATACCGCGCGCAAGAAGGAATAGGAAGCCGAAGGTCG